ATCACACACAAGGCCATCCAAAAGGATTGGGACAAAAAAGTAAAATCAGTTATCTTTGCTTTACAGTCAAGAAATTTGTATTTATGATGAAATTTATCATAAATGATAAGTACAACATGCATTTTAGTTTTGTATGGCTGCTTCTGGAACTGGCTCACTGGTCTTTATTAATGATGTAACTCATGATGGCAGCAGCAGAATTATTAATTCTCAAGGTTCTATATTTATTGGGCTTTGATTCACCAGACTGCATGAGAGTGACCCAGAACATACGGCCAGTGAAACCATGGAGATCAACAGCAAAAAAAAGGGAAAATCCTACCCTGGTCAAGTCAATCTCCAGACCTGAACCCCAGTGTGTGGGTACTTTACATGCTGAAAACTGAAGTCAGAACATTGCATGAATAAGCAAGAACTCACAGTGGCTGCAGCAGATGCTTGGAAAAGCATCTCAAATGATCATACAGAGATGTTGGGGAGCTCACTGGCTTGCAGACTTCATGCAGTTATTGCCTCCAGGCAAGATGCAACCAAATACTGACTTTTACATTCTACAAATTACTTTTTTATTTAGTCAATGTGTCCCCATACTTATGGTCATTTTAAATCACTGTATGATTTGACACAAAGTATGTTTTTCTAATATGATCAAAAATATGTATTATGTACCCAGAAATAAAGTGTATAATATATTGTGTTTATCATTTATATTTATCTCATGATCACAAATTCACATTGATTATCCTTAAAGTAAAAATAACAGTTTTGACTTTTCTGCAATAATATTTTTGAATGGCACTGTATGTTTTTTCAATATACTACCTTCTGATTTGCTTCATGCAGGAAAAGATTTAGTATGGGGGGGGGGGGGAATGAAATTGTTAAGGCCCCAAAGAACATGTACAGTAGGCTTCCTTAGGCTAAATCTGATATTTTCACAAGAGTAGTGAATGGCTAAAGTCAATACCAGTGAGACTCATCAAGCCAGAGGTTATCCTGGTTTCTGAGAGTTGTTCAATGCATTGGGAAATAAGGAAGAGATTACTTGCATGGGAAGTTCAATAAGATAAGAGAGATTTTAAGATCACTTTATTAGCCATATACAATTTCTTGCATTAGGAATTTGTATTTTCACATACCCCAGCTTACTCTCCATGAGACACACAGACAGGGAGAAAGAAGCTTCAGGTCAGAGCGCAGGGTCAGCCATTTATTTATACAGCACCCCTGGCACAGGTGGGGTTAAGGGCCTTGCTCGGGGGCCCAAAAGAGTAGGATTCCTCTGCCAGCTGCAGGATTTGAACCAGCAACCTTCCAGCCACAGGCACAGATCCTGTGCCACCACTAAAACACAAGTGTCTTAAATCTAATGTACCACCAAAAAAGTGACTCTTAGAAGAAGAGTCAGTCTACATACAAACTCGCTAGTAAGGAGTAGGTGGTGAAAATTATTTTATTACTGCCGTCTTAAAATAGCTTCAGGAAAGGTTCACTTCTCTTTTAATCAATACTGGGTCTACAGTAGTAGCATAAATGGGTGAGACATCCAATAAGAATAAAGAACACGTCAATTTATATTTCCTAGTAAGTCAGCCATCCTTATAATTGCTTTTGTCACAAAAGGCAGCACCATAAGCCATAAGGCACCTTAAAAAGAACATTTAAGAGACAAGTGTTGCTTGCTTTCTAGAGGGAGAGAATCATCTTGCTACAGTAGCTATCCTGCAACATCTGAATATGGAGTGGTGCTAGGTGGTGCCAATGTTCCTGTTTTGAATAAAGGATATCCCCTCTGTATACTCTAGCATGGCTACTTGCCCTGAGACTCTCCCCATCTGCTTCATTGTAGTATGTTATACAACCAGCTCTTCAACTGCCATAATGGTCACATTGAGCTAGTTCAAGCAAAATTCTTCCAGGGAGAGAACTGGAATATCCACAGGTTGAATAACCTGTAAAATAGGGAAGAGATACAGTAAAAATGATTGGTCTGAATTAGAAGTACAATGTCTGATCTGATATTTAAGATGTGTAGAGTTTACTAGATTTGTCTGTGACACTAATCACAGCTGAGCCAGTCATGTGTAAATTGATAATAATTTGTAGACACAGTACGTCTGCCCTGTTTACAGAGATTAAATTATGGGATCCACAGCGATCCCTGGAGAGTGCTTTACACTGTACCACTTACTAACAATGATCGAAAGTCTGTTGTGTCAGCCCCAGGATTCTCAGAACTGGAAAAAAGGCTTGACGTTTTGTTGAACCTTTTTATATTTACTTGAGTGGTAATTTCTTAATGCAATTTATTTACCGAGTGGCAAATTCATACTTTTGAGGAAAACTACTGCAAAGAGCTGTGATGAAATATCCAGCATGTTTTCCAGAAAATGCTTGAGTGTAGTTGATAAATACATCAAGCTTTATATTGAATACGCTTACTGTAGATACTTAAATGCCCACGGGAAACAAGACAGAGTTGTCTAGCCTCAATTCTGAAGAGCCCTAGACCAGTTAGGCTCAGAAGACACTGGTTTTCAAAGACGTCACTGGTTTTTAAAGACTGGCAACACCTGCAAACTTTTGGGGAATAAAGCAAGTAAACTGCTAAATTAAGAAAACCTTGATCCTGGAGTCGGGTAGCATGGTGACACAGTGGGTGAAGTTGCTGTCTTGCAACGCTGAGGCTCTGGGGCTCAATTCCAGATGTAAGGATGCTTTCTGCATGGAGTCTGGTCTCCTGGGTTTCCTCTTGGTGCTCCAGTTTACTTCCACACTCAAAAAAATACTGGTAGATTAATTGGCTTCCGGGAAAATTGTCCCTGATGTGAGCGTGTGTATCTCTGTGTTCCCTCCGAATTGTATACTCCCTTGCTCCTGTTGCTTGCTGGGATAGGCTCTGGCTCTCTGATCCTGAATTGGATAAAGCAGAGTATTTTTATTTTAATGCTAAACGAGCCTCTAAATGACTTATTTTAGCAAATCACCTGATTGATCAATATAGAGTTGTTTCTTGTGTTTAGAAATCGGTCAGATCCCTAAAGCAATGTATTTGAAGCAAGTGGGTTTCAAGCACCTATTTCTTTTCAGCATTGGACTTGCTGTGTTTTATAGTATTACTTGCAGAAGTTTTCATTAGCATTTACTTTGAGTTGTTTGTTGATTCTCTGAGAGAAATGTCTTATGTGTGCTTGGGAAAGACTAAATTTTACTGTGGGATTTTCACAGTTCTAGCTTTAAAAGATATAGATTGACTGTTTTCTTATTCATGATAGATAAATCCCAGTTGTATTCACCAGTTGTTTAAAACCTGGGCTCTCCAGTAGTGACATCCACATCTACCCAAGAGAGACTGAGGTATGCAGACATGCTTCTCCTATGCACCTATCCCCAAAGTCATTGGTCATTTGATACCCTGCAAGATCCACCGAATGAATGAAAAAGGGCACTCTGGGTAATAAGTCCAGAGACTGCTCTAGTAACAAAAGGACATACGAAATGTTGAAAAAGAGTGGATACCAATTTATCATATTTGGTATTTAGTATGATCTCATCCTTCTGTTTCTTGAAAGAAGCCAGAGTATCAGCTTCAACAACATGGCTGGATAATTTGTTCCATACTCTCACAGTGCCTTCTGTTTTCAGTTTTAAATGCCCTACTAAACCGTTTTTACTTGTGTTATCTAGTTTGGGTTGGACTGTTGATTCTGAAGAAGACCTTGACTTTGTCCATGCCTTTGAGGATTTTGAATACCTCAATCAAGTCACTGTATAGATTTCTTCTCTGATGAAGAAAAACTACATTCATCCATCCATCCAATTCAGAGTTGCAGGGGGGCGGCACAAGGCAAGATTCACCCTGGATGGATTGCCAGTCCATTGCCGTGTACACACAGCCACAAACATGCACACACTCAATCTCAGGAGCCAATTAACCTACATACCAAATATGGTTTAAAATATTGTGACAACCAACATGTTTTGGGGCACTTTGTGAAATCAAGGTTTTGTTTTCCTCATTCATGGAGAAGATTTGTTTACGTTAAAATTACAGAGAGGCGTGCTACTTAAGGAGGAAGTAACGGCAAGGGAGAAGAACAGAGAGATATGAGGTGTTCTTCAAAAAATCCTAGGCTAATAGAGAAATAGCAGGGGTCTCACAGCTCAGCTATGTTAGAGAAAGAAAAAGTGAGAAAAGGTAAGCCAGAGCAAAAAGAGGAAATATCACAGGAGCAGACCACTCCAGAGGCTGAGTGGATAACTACAATATTTGGTTTTAAGCCTTTTGATGTAGGACATTCATTTCACTTGGGAAATTTATTTGATTGCTTTTCTCTAAATTGATTGGTATGTGAATTCTTAATTGTCCAATTCTGTTAAAGTCTACGACACCTTTTCTTTTACAGCTCTCAATTCACTAGAAATTCGTAGCTATCACTAAGATTAGTCAGTACACAATAAACATAAAGTGTTAGACAAAATAGGCGTAGCTGAGAAACATTTAATTATTTTAGTGAAAAACACTGTGGAAGTTGAGTCAAAATTAGTAAATGTGTATTACACATAAAATAATATTAAATACGATGAGACAAGCGAATTAGAAAGAAGGTCTTGGATGTACATAGAAAAAAATGACACTTTTATTTGTAATTCTAAAGAATGGTTGCATGGCAAGTGGTGTGCTAGAGGGAAGGAGAATAAAAAACACCCTGTCATATATCGCTAACCTTCAAATATTTTTTTCATGCCAAATCTCGCCGCGATGAAACACCGTTGCTTGGCTCAGGTGCACGCTATGTTTGTGATTGACAGCTGGTGATGCCAAATCAGCGGCCAGGCGTGGTGGATCAACAAGGAGGGGGCAGGCCTGAGCCTGGGAACAAGGTAGGGCGTGCTTGTGATTGAAGGAAGAATTCGCCAATGAAAACCTGAGTCGAGCGATTTGCTGAAAAAGAGAGCCAATGGTGAAAAAAACTGGGCGGGTCATTTGCTGATGGCTTTCAACGATGGATGCAAGCAGAACTGGGCAATAGCAAAGCTGCAATTCCGATACAGAGACTTGCGTTCTTTATTCTGTATGTCCCGGGGAGGACCGAGACCTGAAACCGTGATTAAATGACACGTTTTTTGGAAACAGTGCTACGGACTTCTGCAAGCTCTCTGCTTCAGCGGCTTTGTTAAGGGTACTGACCCTTGTGTCCCAAGCCAGGTGTATGAGCCGCCAGGATAATCCAGGCTGCCCCTATGGATCGGTTCAATGGATGCCTTCAAATCCCCTTTTAATAATAACTCAAGTGTCATCGGGTCTGCTGCCCAGCCATCCAACACCGAGATCCCGGCGGAGGCAGAAGCTGTTGCCTGGCCGCAGAGCCCCCAGGATGGCACTGCCGCCGCCCCAGCCTCGGTCCCCGCTGTCTCTGGCTACTGGACGGCCGTCTTTGACTACGATGCTAACGCCGAAGATGAGCTCAGTTTACGGAAGGGGGACGTGGTCGAGGTGCTGTCGAAGGACTCGTTAGTTTCGGGGGATGAGGGCTGGTGGACAGGGATGATAGAAGACCGGGTGGGCATTTTTCCCAGCAACTACGTGAGGAGCGGACACTGCATTTCGAGAAACCTGCAGGGCAAGGATGCGGAGGACTATTCGAACTGCCCCGCACACCCTTTACACCGTACGTACCTTTGCAAAGTATTTGTGATTATTATTACAAAAATGACGTGTCATATCATATCTCGTAATTTCAGTACGTGTAAAACGCGGATGGTGGGTTGCTGTTTCTGCGCCTTTGTTTTTCTAAGTATGGGGTTAAAGCATTCAGCTGTGCAGGGCAAGTCCCATTCGTGCAAGCTGTGAGTTGACAGCACCCAGTTTCATGTCGACATGCTAACAGTAATACGATGAATTGATAAGACTCGCTGTCCAATTGCTTACCGCTTTCACAGCTGATCCCCCTGTCCTCGAGGTACGGAAAGACACGGCTTGTGCGTTCTTGACGCTGTCTTCACCAGCCACCCCATGTGGGCTCGGTCTCCCCCACCCCCCTCAGCCTTTTTTTTTGTTCTCGTTTTGCTCTCCAGGCCGTGAAGCTGCTGCCCTTGTTCTGTTCCCTAACCCCGCCTTGCTTCGCACCTGCCGCGTATCCAAATCCGTAACTCTTTGGTTTAGAATTTGATTTTTCTTGAACAGACCAGCTGCAAAGCTGTTGATTTCCGAGACGTAATGAAACGACAGCTTCAGCTAACACTTGCTCGCCGTCCAGAGGCTACATAATTCTTGCCTTTCCTTTTAGAGGTTGTACTTGTCCTCAGTGTATTA